CCTTTTGATGTAAGGCATCCTCAAATTCTCTGATCACTCTGGACACTTCTGGTCCAGAACACACCCAAGGTCGAAGAGCACTAACCGCACCACCACCCCCACTACACCCCCCTCCCCCCCTTTATACAAGCATTATTTACTCGTGGACTTAGTCAATCGAAATAGCCGAGAACGCACTCGGTACTTTGAAATGGTCATGATCAAATCCGTTGGCGAATATGACGATCATAACACGGCGGAGTTGTGAATACTTGACTTTGCATTGATAGTGGGCACACTGCGTTTTCTTTCTCGATGTGTTCACACACTTTGTTGCCTAAATCAGTTGAGTTACGGAGAACGGAGATACGAGACGCCAAGATCATGTCAACTAACTCCCGTTTCCGCGTCTGAGCATGAAGCATCAATCAAATGTAAGTAGCGATTGGGGTTTTCTTATACGGGCTGTGTCTTTTAGGGGTTGCATATTATGTTGGTCAGCGCTTGTACTTCAAAGTTGTGAGACAGTGTCGCCTGAGATGAGATGAGATGAGATGATTCATGGCTTTGGTATTTGATGTTGACACCTTCTAGTATCATTCCTACTAAAGCCAGCAATAAACTTGGGACAGAATCCTCTTGACTCACTCAGAGTCACTGTCATACATCAATACTTCTCAATGATCTTCATCTGAGATAAATTCGGGAGCACATGGCAACTCTAGGTACTAGAACAAACTGCCACAATCTTAATTCATAAAGATGTGCAAGATCTGCGAATTTGAAGAATAGAGCTGTTCCATATTCCATGCGATTTTCCTCTATATACATCACAAGTTCAAAGTTCCTTTGATCTTCAGTAACATAATCTCCAGTTATACTGGCTGCTCGCATGGTATTTGGCTTCCAAGGCAACCATATGACCCACCCTTAACTTTATGAACATGTCTTCAGTAGTATTACGCGTACTCGTTTTTCTAAGTCAAACGTTGCAGCTTCACGAAGAACAGCGAACGATTTGTAATTTTCTCTTCTTGGCAGACGTTCCCAGTCTATACAGTCAGGATGTGAGACATTATCTGATTTCAATGGGTCTTAAAATATATTTGATTTAGACATATTTGATTAAAGTGTTGGGCATGAAATCCACGTTTAACATCTTGAGCACAAAATATCACCTTCACTATAACTTTACTGCACCTATAAGTGAAAAAATGAAATTGGCATGAAATTTTAATTAATTAGCACTGATAAGTTTTGAATGGGGAATTTTAGATATATATTTATAACTATGACCAAATTACCCTGTAGCTTATTACTGTGATCATAATATTAATACCATGTGCCCGTATAACCGTGCATGACCATAATACCATGTGCCAGTATTACTGTGAGCAAAATAGCTTGTGCTCTTATTACTTATGCCTGTGGGCAACTCGCCTGTGAGCAACTCCTTCATTCATCTCAGAATTATCTTGAGTATATTATTATTGTTATAATTATTACTATCATTATTACTATTATTATTAATACTATTGTTATTACTATTATTATTATTATTATTATTACTATCATTATTACTATTATTATTAATACTATTGTTATTACTATTATTACTATTATTATTAATACTATTGTTATTACTATTATTATTATTATTATTATTACTATCATTATTACTATTATTATTAATACTATTGTTATTACTATTATTATTATTATTATTCCTATCATTATTACTATTATTATTATTATTATTACTATTGTTATTACTATTATTATTATTATTATTACTATTGTTATTACCATTATTATTATTAATTCTCTGCGAATAATTGACTGCTAAAACCATACTGTTACATAAGCTGCTAATAATAAAATGAATTGCTAATGGTGTGTTATGAAATGAGAAGACGAAACTCAACACTGAAAAAAAAAACATACATGCACTACGCCTACTTCTTACCTCTCATTCTGGGTGATGAGGCGCTTTCCATTTTGTCCTGAAGTACTTCTATTCAGACGGGCTATATTCTCCAACATGAAATTGATTACAGGTAAAAAAAAGATAAAACCACAAGACAGTAAAGATCTCAAGAGGGAAAGGGGATAATGTAATCAACAAAGGATCCTGAAATAGCTCATAGAAAGAAACAATTGAAAACACCTGATCCAGGGGTAACAAACCCTCTAAAAACAGTATATACTAATGTTGTTTCACTCATTAATACGATCAATAGGTCCACTTTCAAATCTGT